AACTCATATATATGTTTTATAACATTAATTTTCTTCATATTCTTCAAAAAACAAATTCTTCCATCCGTTTGAGTTCTATTTCCATTCTAGATTTTTATTGAACTATATCGAGTATAATCATTTAATAGGTTTCAAATCAAAAAAGGTTTGAGATTAGGTTAGGTCTTTTTTTTTGATGCAACAATGTGGTCTCGAACAGTAAGGCAGAGTAAAAAGAGTGCATCGGGTAATTCGTCAGTGAAGATTTTCATTGTATATTTGTTGGTTACTACTGACGATACTACATGTATTCGATACTCGGCCATAAGTCGATTTCGTTGTTTTTCATCAAAAAATTTTGTTGTAAACGAAGCGACATTATGTTTCATCGTTAATTGTCTTCCATTCCAATTGATTGTAGATTTATGATTGAGTACTTTTAATTTTTGATTAATTGTACCAGTAATCCATTTATTTGATTTAGGATCTAATATTTCTAATTTACCTTTATATAATAAAAGTGTAATTTGATTTTTAAGTCGAGCAATAACTTGTTTCGATGGATAAGCAACAAGTTCGACAGAATGTAGAGCATTATAACGAGATTCAATTCGATATTGAAGAATTTTACCAGTTTGATCGTAGACGGAAAATTCACCTGCTTTTATACCAGTAAGAAAATCTTTTTTAATTACATATTCACGTTTCGACGTTGAACAAGTAATGATTGTAATGAATAAAAGAAATAAGATTCGCAACATCAATCGCTGATATCAAGGGAAAAAAATATATGTTGTTGATAGTTTAGAATAATAGAAAATGAGAAAATGCTTCCGATGTTTTTATAACCAAAATATCAACGTTAGGATGTCATACAATGCCACTAGCAATTGTTTATTTATTCATACGTCAATACTTATTTGGCTCGAGTCAAACAAGTATTCATAATATGGTCGAGAAGAGAGATGCAATCATCTGAATGACACATTAGTAAGAGAATGTTTATTATCACATCGATATATATTGCTATGAAATAGGCTAAATATTTCCTTATGAGTACAAATACAAATCGATGTCATCATATCATTTTGTACCTAGAGCAATATATTAATGTAAAAATTTTACATCATTCGAACATATAGTTATAATGATTGAAAGTTAGAATTTAGATAGATATTATAAATACAATATTGTATGTCAAGTTTTGATCAAACGAGTCATTTACACAATGCTCATTTAATTAAAATACGTACAGAAACTTGATGACTCTTTTTCGTATGGAAATCTATAGATGCTCAAATTTCGATATTCACAATTAATTCTTTTCTACATAAGACATGAAAAGTTATGTGATTACTATCCTCGTTCGGAGATTTACAGAGAATTAATGTGTGTGTCTCTTCAAATACCGATCTTCATAGGAGAAACGAGCATGATGATCAGTTCTTGCATCAGCAATAAGATCAAAGGAAATTTTCTTCCGACATGGTCAATGACTCGATTCTAAAATGCTTGTCGAGGATGAGAACAAGATCTTCTGAATGATATCTTATCGATTGTTCGTTGATCGATCTGAAGAAACTCAAATCAAATGATGAATGTTGTCAAGACAGGACACATGACATTTGTCTTTGAAAGTATCGATGGATAGACAGATAAGAAAACATCGAGAAGGTCAATGTTTAATTAAGACAATCTTTGCAACAAGACATGCTTGTCTAGTTTGGATCTTATTTGGCTACAGTAGAATTCCATTAATTTGAGGTTTTGATCGAAATAATCAAATTAATAGTACAATATTACTTTTAAAAGAGTGAAAATGTTAATGACACTTCGAAGGTCGACAATTAACTTTCAATTGATTTACTCAAATCGAAGAAAGATTAAAGTTATCCGTCTAGAAGAAATAGTTATTGAGATTTAAAAACAATAGTTTGTGAATGAGTGCCAAAAAATGCACCTAATCAGCTATGGGGACCAATATAGCTACGAATAAGAGTTATCCTATTCCAAGTTGATATTTTTATTATTTTAAAATAAACCTCTACGCATCAAAAAATCGAACTTGAAAATTTCAACATACCATCTGTTGATTTAGATTCATCAATCTCGAAAATCTTCGGTTAAAAAAAATGATAAAAATTCGTTATGGTCGAAAAATAGCCTTTCTTCGATTGAAAAACATGGAATCAGAACTATTAATCTCTTTCTAGTCATTAGTAGAACTTCTATCTTATTTTTGAAAATTATTTCAGCATCTTAGCGGTTATTCAACATCTCATATTAAATTTATTGCTCAGATGCTACACTTACTTCCTTGATTCATTCTTAATTTCCATGTGATGAAAAGCGTCGGTATTCATCGGTTAAATACCAAAACATCTGTACAACATGAAAATATCTCCTAACCTAGATCCAGTTTAGAACTTCTTCCTGGTTTCTCATTGATTACAAATGACAAGAACTGTATGAATAACAATCTCGGAGATTATATTTTTGTTTTACGTTTTTTTTTTCATTTTACTATTGAATGAGTACAAATATAATTTAAATGTTGAACTAGTCTATTAGATTTTTTTAATCGATGAAAAACGAGAAAATTATATTCTTCGTAGCTACCGTAGGATATTTCTATGCACGACTTACTGGTCACTGTAAACAATTAATAATCAGTTTCTAATGAAATCCCTGGTTTTTTACAATGTGTAATAAAAGAACTGCTGGAAACCTATAAGGATTTGTTCTCTTTCGGTATCTTTTCCAGTGGTAACAATTTTATTGAATTTCTTATCTCTGCCACGGTAATGTATTTATCAAAAAAATTCATTTTCCGAATGTCAATCCGAAAATTTGCCCATAGGTATGTCTTGTAAATATAAGAATACCGCAAAAATTTCATCCCAAAAAGACGCATTGTTCTTGAGATATTGGATATCTTGTCAGAGATTAAAAAATACTCAGAAATCGTAAGTACAGTCTTATTTTTGAAATCACAATGTTTGAAGATAATTTTCATTATTATGTTTTTCATTTTTTTCAAAAGGCTGTTTCTTTGCTAATAACAGTTAATAAATACCATATAATGATTGTTTAACTATGTTTAAGCTTTTATTTAAATAAAATATTCTTTTATAAAGATATATAGTCAACTATTAATTGTTTGCTATTATTAAAAGAAAAAAGGAAAAAAAAGTTTTTTTTTTTTAATTTGATTCGATCAAATATTCCATAAGAATTACGCATGCTTTTGAGTTTTCAGCATCGGTGAACTACAATAGAGAAAAATTCAATTTAATACTATTAATAAAAAAAAGTATCAAAACCAACCCAGTCCGTTCATGAGGTTCTTTCTCAAATGATCTTTTAACTTGTGTTGATAATTGATCCAGACTGTCATCTGTTAAACTATCATTTTCCAGCGATAAAGAAGTATCTATCTCTTCAGAAGTAACTTCTATCGAGTAAGATTCATATTATATATAATGTAATACAAGCAATAAAACTTACCATCAATCACTGGATCAGATACAACAATTGATCTTGGATATGGAACATAATCATCATTTGAACAATGACATAGTTGTAACTGTATACGAAAACAATTCATACTAGAATTATCTATTGTTACAGTTCGAAGCGCTATATAAATAGACAAAAAAGTAAAGAATAGATGAACATAAATGTTAAGGTTACATACTCGAACTATTAGATGATGAAATTGATAGAGATTGATGTAATATAAAATCAGTTTCCCAATCTTCTACAGTACGCTTAGTAATGTTGAACATCATACTACAATCAAAAATTATAAATTCTTTTATAATGATCTATACAAAAATAAAATTATAAAAATACACTTACGTTGAATCATATTCATGTATAGGAATTAATTTTGAATCAATTGGTCTTTGACCATTCATAAATTTATAATTAGGATGAATCTTTGATTCTTCTTCACTACTAGTAAGTATTTTAATTTCTAAATATTTATTTTTCAATCCTGTACATCTATACAATTCTGGAATCTTTTCACATAAAAAACCAAAAATAGTACTAATAATCAAATAAAATACATAATGATAACTTACAATAAATGATACTTGTAAATAATATTGATTAATATTTTCATGTGATGAAATTAATGAAAATCTTAATTGTGTAATTTGTAATTTATTTGGACTATAATCATAACGATCTTGATGATGTGAAGAATCAACTAAATTAAAAAGAATATTTTATATATGTATATGATAATAATTTCTAATTTACCTGGTGTAAAAGCATTCGAACAAAATAAAATATCTTGTTCGGGTACAAATCGTTTTTCATCTGCATGCCAATGAGTACGACGAATGATAAGATATGCAGTATATAATTTAAGATATTTGGCTAATTTAGTAGGTGTTACATGTTTAGCATTTTTATTCATTTTCTTTTTCTTGTCATATATTCCCCATGATAATAACAATTTATGATCGACTTTAATAATAGTATCTATATAGATGTAATGCATATTTACATATATAATGATTTCAAAATATTTTTATTATACCACAAAGAGCTCGTTTTATTTGACATGTTGTAATCTGTTGTTTATCATTAGATTCGAACATGCTATTTTTTAATTTACAAATGGTCATTTCCAAACTGAAATCAAATGAAATAAATTTTCAGATTCTTAAATTTAAAATGTTTACTTACGAAACAAATTCGTTATTAATAATTGCATCTTTGTTCAAATCAAAAACAGTACGATTTTCAATTTTAAAACCTGTATCAACACTACGAACAAATCCATAAGGACCAAAATAAAATTCTCCATCAGGACCTTTGAATACTAATGTACATTCAATTTGAGAATTGACGAATGCTGAAACTGGCTAAAAGAGAAAAACTGAAAATCAATCATTATCAATATATTAACTTACACCAAAATATAACCGTGTATTCTCTACACAATCTTTTAATTTTGGAATTCCTCTTATTTGCTCTCGAATAAAATCATTTCCACTATAGATACGAAATATGTTCAGAATTGGATGCTTTAAGTATATCGATCGATCGACATCCGGTGTGATCACTAGAAGAATGAAAATAATAATATTTTATAAATTATAAATTCTAGGACGAATTGATTCATAAAGGTAAAGAATAGATATGTAATAGGATGGTTATTTTTTCCCAATAGCATGTCGAATGAGAGAGTAAAGCTGTCGAAGCCAATCTTATCCTATCATGAAGCATCAAGGAGAGTTAGAACATAAGAAAAATCTAGGTAAATTCAGTGTGAAAGTAAAGAAAAAGTTTTTAGGGTAGGGTCAAAGCGTGAGAAAAGCTTATCCTCTTGATCACTATTCGAGAATCAGCATTTAAGAGTAAAACCAACTATTTTAAATATTAATCTTACTATTTTTGTGCTATTTCAACTTATTTTCATCTATAATTATAAGCTAAGAAGAATTCTTTCTAATGGGGATTAAAAACAAATCCGAATGAACTAATAAAATTATTGAAAAAACAAGATTAAAACATACTTGCAATTAGATTATTTGATGCCATTGCTAAATATTGTTCATTGCTAACTGATGGATTAATTAAAGAATTAGCAGGTTTTTCAATGGTTTGTTCGGTGTTGTTAGATGCACTATTTGATTCGCTATTGTTGAAATTAAGTAATTCAGAATGCAACCAACCACTTATTTTGTCAATTTTTTCTTTTTCTGAAAAAATAATCACAGAAAAATCTATAAATAACATGCAAATAATTGTCAATGATACTGACCGATGGTATCTATTGTTAAATTCTGGTTTGTACAATCATCATCATTTTGCAACAGCCGTGTTAGAATCGCATCGTAATCATCTATAGATGAAAGACAACAAAATATGAATAAAAATAATTTATCAGATGTCAGATTGAATTAGTTTTATATGCTAAAGGTGATGTCGATTTTCCCATGAATCATCGAAATTTATTTTTGTCAATAAGCAAAAATCGTTTTCTTTTTCTTTTTTATTGTTTTTTTGGGGTTACACTTTAGAATTCGTTTTAATAGTCAGATTGAAAAATTCATTTTTTGGTTCCATTTAAATTTTTGATTTTCGTTTCACATGAATAAATACAACAGGACTTTAGTATCGAAGAAGTCTTATTCTTTATTGATAAATAATAAACTCGTGTAATATTTTTTCAATTGTACATCAATATTTCATATTAAATTATACAAAATCCTAGAAGAATTTTAGTAGACTCACCATCTGCTAAATTAAAATAGATTTCCGTAGTATTATTATTCATTCTTAGAAAAGAAACATAGCATGTACAGTATGATGATTTGAAATTACGCACTTATATACATTAACCTATTTTTGTTCTTTCACCGAAAGAAACAAGTATGCTTTCGTCACATGTTACTCGATTTAAAGGTAGTTTTACTACTGGAAAAAAGTAAGCTTTGACGCAAATACTTTTTCTTATCTTATTGTTTTTTTGTCTCTTGGTAACGATAGAAAGAATTGAATATGCTGTGCAGACTAACAAACAATAGAAGGGTTTGTCTTTATGATATTTTTAAGAATTCGAAATAAAGCAACATAGTCTGGCAATCTTTGTTTTTTGATGCAAGCGATTGTTGATTCTTTTCTTTCAGGTAACTTTGAGTGTTCTTATCAAACGCAATTACACAATACAGATGTCGTTGTTTTTTTTTTACAAAAATACAATAATTTCGTAAAAATTGCCATAATTGAATCATCACGTGCATTTTGTTGATAAACAAATTTAAAAAGAAACACAAATTCCATCCATTATTATTTGAAGAAACGATTAAATATAGAATTTGAATCTAAATAAGCATAGTTGTAGATGATTAGTTTGAGATTAGTATGAAAGTAACCATTTAAAAATACTTTATTATTAATAATTAAATTATCAATACCTAACAAATCGAATATCTCAGTTCCAAGACTTCCAGAACATGTGTTTGATGAAATATGTCTATTCTTATTAACAGATAATACAAAACGTTCGATTACTAGAAAAACAAATAGTAGAACGCAGAAAAATCATTGAAAATTTAATTAGTAATGAAATTTAAAATGTAAATAAATATTTTATTGAATGTAATATTATGTATTGCAGAGAGATCCATCGCGATAGATATCTCTAGTATATTTTCAATACCGTATTAACTCTTTTCCAATATTATGAATATTATCTTATTTTGAAAGCAATCATATTCATCGAGGAAATCACGATGTTATTCATGACATACTAGTATACAAAACAGTGAGAAGGTTAAATTGAATCATAGTATGCATCATGAATATCATATGGAGAAAAGTAGATCAGTTTTTGTTTGATGCATTGATAATTTCGATTTACATCTTTTCGAAAAGATTCAGACAAACGATAATATGAAATGGATAGATCTCGTCATGGTGCTTGGAATACAATGATATTTTAGAACTAGTCCCTGAAGACTGAAACGAATACACTTTATATGTTTGTGTATAGAATAGACTCTTGAGCATCTATTAGAAGAAATAGCTCTTACATAAAACCAACACAGGTAAACATATATAGATAAGATAAGAAACAGGGAGACAGAGAGTACAAGGTAATTATTTACTTCATTTTTTATCTATATTTAGTTTTCACAAATACATAAGGATCTTAAATTAAGAAACATATCAGACTCAATGATGTACTACTAAAAAGAGAAAACGTTGAACTGGTATCAAATTTTGTTCAAATTATTGAGATCTTTTGTTTTGCTACATTTCTTATAATAGATGTCTTCAGATTGGATAACATCAAATACAAATGACACTATCAACGTTGATATTTATTCACAAGTGAATATGGATATTCTTATCTTCTACGGTCACATCTACACCCTAATTCTCGTGCCGACAAGAATTTACAATCGAAAAAATAACTGCTTTGATTCATTACGAAATAGTTGTTGCCCAATCACGGTATGGTGTTGTGCAATATTATGTTGAAATAGTTATATATAAATTCAACTGCGTGTGCGTATGCAGTCCTAAAACTATGTTCTCTAGCAATAAAATCTCCAAAGTAAGTTCGATTATTCTCACAGTTTCAAAATGAATAAGATGCTGTGTTTTTTTTCTTAGGAAACTCTTCGAGAGTCTATTGATCATTTACTCGACTATGCTAACGTTCATCATCAAAGAAAGTTTGTCGAAACTGTTGAATTGCAAATCGTACTCAAAAATTACGATACTCAACGTGAAAAACGTTTTGCTACCAATATTCAACTTCGTTATCCAATACGTCCTCGTTACAAAGTTTGTGTATATGGTGATGAGCAACATTGTGATGAAGCTCGTCTGCACAATATTCCGCATATGTCAACGGATGATTTACGACGGATGAACAAAGATAGGAAGAAGAAAAGAAAACTTGAACATCGTTATCATGCTTTCTTAGCTTCGGAGAATGTCATTCGTCAAATTCCACGTCTGCTCGGTCCAGGTCTCGGTCGCGCAGGGAAATTTCCAACATTAATAACTCATACAGAATCATTACGTGACAAAATCGAACAAATGAAAGGAAACATTCGAATTCAATTAAAAAAGCAACCTCTCATTAATGTTCCTGTTGGACATGTAAATATGACTGGGGAACAATTGATGAGTAATATTACTATGACAATCAATTGTGCTGTAGCATTATTACGTAAACATTGGCAGCATGTTCAAAAAGTATTCATTAAAAGTACAATGGGACCCTCTCGCCGTCTTTACTAAACAATTTTTTCAATCAGAGGAACACAAAAAAACTTTTGAAAATCAAAATAACAAGAAGAAACGTCAGATGAAGAAATACCAACTTGGAAAGTTATTCTAATCATGTTTGTGTGTGATAATGAAAGAATTAAAAAGAAAAAGAGATAGTTACATCAGTGTTTGATAATCATCGAAAAATGATCAATCATACAGATCGGCCAGTCAGCTAGATAAATTTGTCCGCACGACGTGTTCCTCGTACTGCCGATCCATTTATTATTGAATTGAGAGATCAAACTGCCTTCTTTGCCAACTTCGAAAGCAATAACAATCGAATATTGTTTGATGAAATCATGAATCCTCTTCAGGGAGTAAAAATTTCTGTGTAGTACGGTCAAAGAATTCTTTGAAAAATCTTTATGCTGATCTGAATGAATCGGCTAATATTTATCTGAAGGGTACATGCTTTATGAGATTTTAGTGAACAGAAATTTCGATAATCAGGCACAGATAATTGTTATTGTTTCAATTACTCGTACATGAGTCTTTCGCACAACCAAATAACATTCTTTTATCTGAAGCCTATCTCTTGTTTTATGTGCAAGAAATACAAAAATAAACAGCTTGTTAAAGTATGATTTTTTTCCCCACATTACTCATTCTTCTTTCTTGCCGTTCAAATAAAGTGTAGTCAACCAAATGAAGCACTTATCAAACCTCATAGTCTATTAGATATACCAAGGTCGATTCTATACGATGTGAGTTTTTATGCTTAAATGAGAGAGACGAAAGCGTTGTATTAATTGGAACAGTTTCGTCGTTAGTCGGACAATATTCAATGCCATCAAGAAAAAGTCATTAGAAAAAAAAAACATAATGATGACCAATGTGCTTAAAATTGTCTAGCAACAGTTTATATGATAGAAAATAAGAAAAAGTACTGAAGAAAACAAGCATCACAATTCTCTCTGCTTTGCCATAGTTTTCAATAGTCCAGAAAGAAAAAAGTCAAAATTATGCATACATTTTGTCTCCTTCTTGATCGAGAAGAGCACGATGCAAGTCTAAACATATAAGTTGGCATAGAGACCATGGTCATTACTATATCCTTGGATTATTATTAGTTGGGTGTATGGGTGTAGATATGAGCTTGTTTGAATTGGTCGAAGAAAGTATGACTGAAGAGAAGACTCACACCCATCCTTAAACTGACGAGAATTCAAATAATCACAATAGTACAAAATTCGAAGCATGATAACTTTATTGCTGACTTTTTCTCTCTTGATTTACGTGATTGCAGAGAACTCTCTAGGCACGTCATTACTTCACGTCGAAATCACTCCTCACTTGTATTGGAGTTCATGAAGCTGATGTTGTTCAAACCTAAGTTTATTGAAAACAATTGTTAGAATATTTTTCTGAGTTTTTTTATTCGACACTGATTCGAACAGGAGAAATAAATAATCTATTTTTGATGAACAAATAGTTATATAAATGATTAGCTAATAATATTCAACGAAGTCCTATGGAAAAGCGTTGGTGTGAACATCGAGAAAAATTATTTCAATGTCATACACCTATGTTAAATAGTTAAGAAAAAGTATCTATCTATAGTTTGTGAAAATTGATACCGTTTTCATTCGACACGGCTAATATATTCGATCCGAATAAACAAGCACGCCAAGGTTCTGATTCGTATACAATCGTTGTTTTGACTTTTCCATCTTTTGTAATGTGAAAAAGACGCGAACTACTCCGATCGATGACGAGCCACTCTTCATCATTGAGTAGACAACAACGAATTGCTCTGTTCTGTAGATCGACAATATCGAGTCGAAGTAACCAGATTCGATCTAATGTCATTGATGATCTTAGTTCCATGCGTTTTGTTTTATTTTTTTGTTCACCTATCATCAAAGCTAGTGTTCCATTCGAATAGACTATGTCATAGATCCATTCGTCTTTTGTACATGTATCAGGAGATTGCCATTGTTTGGTAAGTTCAATCGATGATGAAATTTTGAACTCGCTGATGGAAGAACCTGCTTTTGCTGTGGATAGAAATAGCGATGTGTCAGAACATGTACAAGAGTACCAACGTTGTCCTTTGATAGCTTGTACTTGCTGAATTGACATTTTGTTTTCATCGAGAAGAAAAACGTTGTTAAGAGTAAGTATTATAAAACAGGCTAATGTCGATGACCAACACATATCCCAAATTAAGCCATGAGTCCATACATTCTGTTTAACTAATCGTAATTCTCGATCGAGTAAACATAAATTTGGCATTTGATGTTTTAATAAAAATTTATTATTACTGGCTAGAGGTTTCCAGCTTCCATAAGTATGATAAATACCAGCGTACGGAGATGAAAGAGTTGTTAAATTAAATAGAGGTAATTTTGATTCTATAATGTTAAGAGAATTGTTATCAATCACTAATGGATGAGTATTAATTTGAAAACATTTATTATATTCGATTAATATTATTTCTTGTCCAAGATGGTCAACATCTAATTTCAATGAGTCAATTTTTTCAAGAGAAGCTTTTTGTTGACGAATGAGTTCATTTACATTTAATTGTAGTCGAATCATTTCTTTTTTCTGTTTGTTCACTTTTTCGGCAATAATTTGATAGAATTCTTGACATTTTCGTTTAAAAAAAAGATCTATTGTCTTGTGGCAATCAGCACGCCATTTGTTGAGTTTTTCTTCAAAATTTTCGAATAATTGTGCAGCATCTAATTCCATAAGTCGACTATCGATTGTATTGATCTGTTCGAGCAATGGATCCAGTAGCTTATTGAAAAAATCATCATTTTTATTCAAATTGGTCTCACGTAGAGTTTGTTTGCAGGTTTGACTATACATTGTAGTGACACGCGATTGAGAAATTCAAAAAAGAAAAACATTAAAACATTGCATTCTCTCACTGTTATATGAGAACGATAAAAGAAAAATGTTCTGGCTTCTACACAACTGCAATCACATGTGCACAGAAAAAGACAAAGCATTGCTTCATTCTTTCGTTGCCAGGTAAAATTTAAACGCATGCAATTTTTTTCGTTGATAAAAAACGATTGCGTACAAAACGAGAGCAGAACATTATTATCGTGCAGCACAAACACTGATGTCCAGCGCAGCAAAGTATGCATTGATCCAAATGAATCAATGTGATAATGCAATAGAATATTTTATTTTGTCTTCTCTCTAATTCTAAAGAAAAAATATTAGTAAAATTAATATTAATTTTTGATTGACATATTTAAAATTGAGAGAGACAAATGATGTGATGAAAAAGTATGATCCTGCTTATTCTCTCATTATAGAAAATAATGTGTTAGAAATTGATATTCATTCTATTATTGAAAAATCTATTGATAAAACAAAATCATGATTTTAATTAATTATAATTAGTATCAATTGATTATCGATTGATATCGATTATAATTTTGATTATAATTGATTAAAATCTTGATTTTGTTTCACAAAAATTAGATGATAATTTTGATTAGAATCGATTACAATTTTGATTTTATTACATAAAAATCGTATTATTGATTTCAATTATTCCCATAGGATCTTGAAATTTTAATCGATTTTAATCACACACACCGAAAATGAGCGCTTTTCTCGAGATCTGAATGTAGTACTCAAATTTTTCATGACGTTTCTGGATTCCTCGTATTCAGAAACTATGAAGTTGTCACCAAGCTAAACTCCAGCAAATGTAGTAAATTTGAAACTATTACATAAATTGTTTAAAATTGAGATGGTACCATTACATCAGCAATCGATTAACAATTAAGACATTGATTTAAATTAATTAAAATATTTTAATTGAATTTAATTAACTGCATGCGTATTTTTGTCTTTTCCTATGTAATACTTGTTTGTATATAAAATGCTTTTTGTAATTCGTATCCTCACAGGTTTACTTTTCTCATGTGCGCTTCCTATTAACGAAAATAATCAGTTTCAATTCATTACTACTTTTTGGAATCGATTAAACACGATTCATATTTTGGCTGAACGTACTATTGATAAAAAGCGACTTGAACCCGATTATTTGATCTAAATTATGTTTTGGAAAGGGCACTAATATTGTTTATAATCATGTATATCGTGTTTGTTCTAGAAACTCGGTCTTAATAAATATTACATGACATTATATCTATCGTAATCTTGATAGCAATCAATATTCCACCCAAAATGCCTCGTATTAGTCCAAATCATTTGATTTTATATAGACCTTACTGATATTCTTCAACGAATATCTGTTTATTTTATATATGATACAATATTTCCAACAATGTCATGTTTATTCAGTGATAAATTCAAATATATAAAGTATAATCAAATATTTTATGAATGAATCGATCGTAAGCGATCTTAACAAACGCTTGAAAATATTTACAATAGTCATCTTTGTATTTGTAAATCATAAAAATAATTGAAGAGTAACTTATTCCATGGTGTTTCTACCACGTGAACATATAAATTATTTAAGTTAACCGAAAGTATCCTATCCTGTAGATCTTGATGAGTTGTATCTATAATAAAAAATCAGCTTAAACAACCGTCCATTTAAGAAGATATAGAGCGTACAACTTTAGTCGGAAATTGCCATAATGATGTGGGGGTGTAGGTTTATGGATTTTTCTTCCACCTGCACATCATACTCACACCCTACAAACGATGTATCATAATCTAACAATAAAATGATGTATTTGAGACCAAATATAAACGAATTTTCATATAGTTATAGAGGTGAGGAATTATTAGATTCAATTATGGAATGTATCGGGAAGTAATTTATTTAATAATACAAAAAAAAATTACATATACGAATGACTTCTTTCCTAATCTTTTCATAAGTAAATCAAAGAAGAAGAATTTGAATTACGCCGTATCTAGAGCTCTGCAGGGTATAGGTAGCCTGCCCTGTTAGGGTAGAGCCAGGTTACGAAAGTTTTTATAGGACAGGTTGCAGGGTACGAGTATCGTAACCTGTCAATCTGTAACTAGTTTTATGCGTTAGATATTATAGATATCTTTTCTAAAGTTATACACTAAGAAAAAAAAAATAGAAGTGAAAGTAAATTGAAAAATCAATTTAGATTAGTCGCAAAGATACTCAATAGAAGCAGATATGTTGGTAACCTATCCATTATACATTGTGTAGCTACTCAAGTGTGCATTTAGTTTTCTTATTTTGAATTTTATCTTGCTCTTTTCTTTGTTATCATCATTAACTAATCTCTCAAATATCATCATCAATATCAGTCAGATTTTTCTGCTAGTGAAATATCAACTATGCCTAATTCAAAAAACGATATGGAATGAAAAAAGAAGCAGATGATAGAAAAACTTAAAACTGGTGAATTCATAGCTACAGTAGAATCGCCATCATCATCTTAGTAATGAATATCAACTGTTCGTACAACGTCGATTGTTCTATGAGATATTATCATATTCCATATCAAATGAAACTTCTACTATTAGCTATCATTTTAAAAATTGTTTAGATGAATCAAATACACTAAAAAACAACAAATCTCTTAATAGGGTGTGGATGTGCGAAGAGAAGATTCATACCCCACACCACACCCACATTCGAGCATGTTTTTAGCTCATCAGGTCGAGTATTAGAAAAAATAGGGCAGTTTTTAAATCTAGATATTGTTGATGATATTCTGATGATTAGAAATTTTCGAGATATATAATGTTGTTCGGTTTTGCTTTATGGTTGTAACAAATTGAAATGAAATTTAATAATAAATTGATACGAAAGTTTGGAATTTTCTTCGGTTTTAAAAAAAACAGGGCAGGTCAGGACAGGTTAAAGGTTATGAAATAAATTCACAGGGCAGGGCAGGGCAGGGTCAGGTTGTCAAAATAGCGTAACCTGCAATCCTCTAGCCGTATCATCACGAGAAACGAAAAATGTTTCTTGTTGAGCTACAGTGGCCATAGCTGCTTCATATGCTTCATCGAGATCAGCATGAAAGAGAGGTCGATTGATATCAAGAATAGGAACAAGAATAATATCTGCATCGTTTTCACCATGATCGAGATTGATATATACGTTTGCTACAGAAAAAACTGTATGACCATGATCAGATGATCCGAATCCAGCCGAAATGAGGGCACGTTTCATCCAAGGATTCGATAAGCCAACGAAATGCCAATTAATGGTTTTATCCGCGTAACGATCTAATTGTCGACGAACATCAACAAGACTTTCCAGACCAGTTATATCCAAATGAGCAACACCAGTAAAATCTAAAATTAAGGCATGTAAATGTGGACGTTGATCATCTTTTTGTAGATCTTTTTCTGGATGACGACTGGTCTTTAAATTCCATGGTTGTTCACCCAGTGAACCATAAGGTTTGACTTTGCCTGGTTTTGTTTCCCGAAAAATTTTTTCAACCAACTGTTCCATATAATTATTAGCATTTGGATATAGAAAACTTTCATTTACTCGATAGATAAATATGCCATTACCGGGTAATATTGGAATAATGGTTGGATTCGAACCATCCGAATGATTGAGTGGCACATAAATATTTCGAGTTGTTACATGAGTATAACCATCAGATGTTAATTTGACTTGTTGAACTGGAACTCGACCAACAAATTCACCACGAGCCTTTGCAATACGAAACAGTAGTAGACAACCTGAAGAAATAGTCGTAATATAGAGACCAGTTTCAATGTTAGAAAATATTGTAACAATAACTCCGATCCAAAAAATAAAAAATTCAACTGGATTAGCTCGCCAAAAACGTTTCAAAGTCTGCGGTCCAACAATCAGATCACCAACACCATGAATGATGACAGCAGCTAGACAAGCTTGTGAAATCCAATAGAAAATTGATGTTAAAGTATAAATACCCAGAATAATCAGCAAGCCACTAAACAAGCCAGCCAAAGGTGTTCGTACACCTGCTTTGGACTTAATGGCTGTACGCGAAAACGCACCTGTTGCAGGATAAGCACCAAAAAAAGGTCCGAAAATATTTGTTACACCAATAGCAATCAATTCTTGATTGGAATCAATATTATAATTATTAATTCGACCGAATGATTTAGCTATAGCAATGTGTTCAATGAGAAGAACAATAACTGTTGAAGGTAGATAGGATGCAAGAGCACCCAATAATGTTCCATCGATATATGGTACACCCAAATTTTGAAAGCCACGTGGAACTTTACCGAGTATAGACGTACGCGGATGATCAGGATGATGACGATTGATCAACCACGAAATGAAAAGAAAGAGAATAATTACAAATACAACACGAAGTGTACTGATAAAGAAGAAGACTTTTTCTCGCGTCGGAAAACGTCTACTAGCGTGGGCGCAAATAAAACGAATTGAATAAAGCATAACGAGTGATGTTAAACCGAGTACAGCATTTAAATCACAATGTTTAATTTGTTTCCAAAATTGACCAAAAACTAAATAGATCGATTCACGTGTATTCAAATATTTATTGTTACCCATCATTACTGGTATTTGTCCCATGGCAATTTTCAATGCGGATCCAGTCATAAATGCTGCTAAGGCTGGTAGAGGAATGAAATCGACTATAAAACCAAGACGAAACATTCCGAGAGAAAAAATAATACAGCCAGAAATAAGAGATAAAGCTGAGGCAATTGTATGTGATTCATATGTTGGATAACCTCTACGTACAGCGTCGACTACGTTACCCGTCAATGCTGATACGACTGCCACAGGTCCAATACTAACATCCTGCGAATGACGAAGATCATTATAGTAAAAGAAAAGAAAAACTGAAGTCATTCATTTTTGTTTCTTGCATGATTATATTCACCTTGCTAGTGGCAAAAAACCAATAAATCATTACGCCAACAAATGAACTATACAAGCCGAATTGTGGTGCCAGTTTAGCTAATCCAGCATAGGCCATACCTTGTGGAATAACAATAGCACCGACTGTTAAACCAGCTATAAGATCACTCCAAAACCACACTAAATTGTATCGATAGATCCAATTAAGAAATGGCAGATAGGATAGAAAATAATTCTTAATTGTTTGATTGAGATTATTGATTTTTTTCTTAAACCAATCTTTGAGTGTCGGATACGGTTCATAATATTCATGATCAGTAACAGTTTTGATTCGATTCATTGATGATGATATTGATACTGCGGGTGTTTGAGTAAGTGTCAATTCCTTTTTGTTAAGTTTTACCATAATTTACATATACAATTAAGTCCGATTGCAGGAATATGTCGAAATATAATGTTCTTTCTGAAAAATATTATAGATCCTAAGATTTTTTCAAAACGAATGAATACAATAAATAGATCTTAATTTCATATATTCAACAGAAACTGCAAGAGTTCTCTGGATACAAGTTTTTTCGATGAGGAAAAACACATTCGTTTGATATAAAGTGTATATTATTCGATTTGTGTAAGACGAACTTCATCTACTGATATTATTTCCTATCAATTGTACAACATATCTATACGTGATTTTTATCCTTTCCATTCGTAAAAAGAAAATGAAGCCCTGGTAAAGACTTAATAGCAAGATAGTAGATAGAACTGCCAATTTCTGAGCCTTTGATTGAGATACATGAGACCAAAAATGGAGCTTCAATAAGGCACAATGCGTTTCAAAATGGGATATATTTGTGAAGTAAATTACATGCAAACTCAAGGAGATAAGATTATGCGAATGACTGAAAAAAAAGTATTAGTAAAATACGTGCACACTTACAAACACACCTTATGAAAGGAAACTTCATTCTGTTTGATCTCTGTAGGTAGAGCTCGTTGAGTTGTGTTTATGAATACAACTGAACACTAAATTTGATTCGTCGTAAAAGAGAACTTCACCGATGAACACCCTATGCGCGCCTGCGAACATCCACAAAAATCTCGTTTACGCTAACAAAAACTTACAAATACCTGTTATCTGAAGTTATTTCGGCGTCAGAATTCCATCTAAATATTTTAGTCTTGGAGGAAAATATCTTCAAAAAATCGAGGTTTTTTCTAGATGCTCTTGTTCAAATATCACCTATACTGACATGCTTCTAGAGAAAAAACTTGACTTTTTGAAAATATTTTCTTCGAACACTAAAATGTTTAGGTAGCATTCAGACGCCGACCTAACCGCAAATAACTGGTATTGGTAGTATTTTTAGTATTCGCGAATACAGCTCGACGAATTCCACCTGCAAGGATTATCAGAATGTAGTTTTCTTTCATAAGATATATCCGTAGATATTCTCAATTTTACTACTGTCTACTGAGAAAAAATAGATCGTCTGATAAGATAAGATTTGAAATCTACTCCGTTTGAGTGAAAACAGCAATATTGAATGCTTGTTTCTACTTCTACAATACAATAAATTCAATATCAAGCTGTATCAAGTACGATTCTCCTTAGAATACAAGACAAAAATGTCTTCTCAAAAAGAACGTCTATCATTCGAATAATTTTGCGGAAACCTGCGTTGAAAACTATGAAAAAGTGGTGGTATCTGGGATCCACTATTTCTCATTTCTCTTCTCTCTACTGACTATTTCATCTTCTTATATTTCGTTTCTGCTTGTTGGATTATTAGAAAAGAAAAAATATGATCATATATAAAGCAAAAGAAACGTAAGTAGTTGATATGGTCAACAGAGAGAGGAGAAATGAGAGATAGTTAGTGTATTGAAAATAGCATCGCCACCCAACTAGCATAAATTTATATTTGCTTGATTCTCGCACATCAAATCATATGTGCTTTAATTGTACTGATTCGTAAGAATGTTCGCAGTTTTCTTGAATTGTTCATTCTCGTTGAATCGATATATCATGTTATAATTCATTTACTTGACTCTCACAAATCGCCATTATTTTTGTTAAAAGTAAAGACTCAGGTACTTACACTAGAAATTGCAAAAAGATCGAAATTATGTACGTGGAAGATCCAAATCAGTGCATTTAACTGAAGCTGTTAAAACAGTTTTAGTTTGAATGAAATGACCGACAGTAATATCTATGTTTCTTTTCGAAGCGATTTGATAACAAATAATGAAGCACTTTCGAATCAATAATATGCTATCGTAGGATTTATACAGCCTATCTACTGTAACTTTCTGATTATGCCATTAGATCGTTTTGAAAAAGGAAGCACATGTTTCAAAGAGCTCAGTACAGTTAAAAACTCTTCGAACATTGACTTTTATCAAATCTAATGTACACCAAATGAGTTGATCTTCGATTCGAACTCAAATAAAAGGAACTAGTCGACAGTTTCACTTCGTTTGCACCTGAACTAATGATTCAGTGCTTCAATTTAACTCATGAACTATTATATGACCGATTGAAGCGTCGGAAAATGATATTAAGGAATTCAAAGCTTATTGGTTTCTATTGGAAAATGGTTTAACTAATGGAAAGTGAAAACCTCTAAATAAAGTTCAAAATGTGTATTCCAGTGAGTAAAATTTTTCTATGATGAAACTGTTCAAAGTAGGCTACTCTAACTTTAAATAGAGCACAATTTATAAGACTGGAAGATAGACCATTCAGATAAAAATATGAATAGAAAAGTGCTGTTGGATAATATTTGAATGTTACACTTTACTTCCTTTACGGTTGCTCTTAAAACTGTTTGGTGTTACTAAATAATTATTGTTCGTATTAGTCTCTAATTATACTCGCCAATAAACATTTTATAGAAGTCTTATTACAGAATTCGAAAGCAAAAATAGAAATATAAGCTAGATGAATAAATATTTTATCAAAGGATCTATACATACATACTTCGCTATTTCTTCTAATTAATATCTTGACAAAGTCTTTTGTGTGAGTTTGTACTTCAAAATGAAATATGAAAAAGTGCCTTTGATTAAAAGTGGTTTGTTCAAATCTTGTTCCTTAATAATAAAGAGTTGTCGTGAAAGACGTGTAGAAATATTCATCTGAATTTCTAACAACAGAAGAGCAAAACAAGTGATATTTAGATTTATGAGCACCTATAAAAAGCGAAAGATAAAGAGAAAAATATCAATAGAACAAAAATAATGAGAAGTATCACGTTACAAAATATGAATTCACTTGTTAATGGAAGCATTACGTGACTAAATGTCGAAAACAGACATTTAATTATAGAGATGCGTGTTTTATTAATCCAGTCAGAACGGAGTAAATTTTGAGAAAAGTGAAATTTTTCGACGGTTTCGCACCACATATTCATTTAGATCAGCTTTAAAACATATCTAGAAATATTTTCAGAGTATGATAGTCGCTGAAGAGTGTGAGAGGTTGTGGGTGTCGTTGACGAGACGATGAACACTCATATCTCACATCCATGCGCTAATGAGGTACAGATTCGATAGCGCTTGATGGTTTCTATCTAGAAATATGATCTATTTTTGTTGGAAAGTACTCAGGGATGAATTGCGCTTGGTTATACGAGAATTCGCCGTTTTTTTCATGGTTTTGTATAGTAATTGGCATTTTCGTCTAGTTTAGAATGTCTGGTCTGGAGAAGTGATTGGTGGAATGGATAGAGCATATCGAATTCTATTTGGAAACCAGTTGAGTTGCATGGGAAAGCACTTGGGAGCAAATCCATTTATGGGAAATATTCAAATTCTGACCTAATATATCCTATGTGATATAATTATAATATTTCTAAAATTTTTTGTAAATAAAACTTCTGAGAGATTATGTAGTCTATACATAATTATAAATTCATACTTTAATCATGTTTAAAATAAAAAAAAAAGTAATTTATTCGGTTGATTAA